ATGTATACTTGCTTAATAATCTTGAAATTTTGGCTAAAATCTTTCAAGAAATGATAAAATTGGTGGTTAATTGCTGTTTTTTTGTTTACTGTAAGCATTTGAGTTTGCATCAACTGAAAGGATAAAGATTCCCTCTGTACCTCATAAACAATGGTTATTCTTTCATTTCTATCATATTCTTCTAATAATGGTATCAATTCCAATGTAATCAACTGTTTAATAGAATCTTTTTTATTTGTATTTAGTTAAATCTTTTATCCGGACCAAATTATCCTTGAAACGGGCTTATTAATGATCAACATTTTTGGTAACACATGATATATTTGCCTGATTCAGGTCACAATCTTGTTGAATTAGAGTTGAAGAACGCATGGCTTTCTGTTGAAAATCTGAATCGGATATTAATGGTAACAAGTTTAACACTCAAGTCCATACGATTAGATGATAAGGAATTAATCCAGTTGAATAAGTCATTCCCTAATCTTTAAATTCTTAACTTGAGCATAGGCTAGTGACAGGTTTAATATCAACTCTCAACTTGAGCATCTTCAAGCTAAGTATGTGGGAACAGGGCATGCAGACATGAACAAATTGTGAGTGACATTTTTATCTATGTCATTTTTTAATATTAGTATTAGTGATTTACTGATTTTCACTTCAAATTGATTTTTTTCTCACTTATTGAGATAAAGTGTTTTAACTTTTAATATTTTGCAATAGCAGAGAATAAATCAATTGGAAGAGAACGCTACAATTTTATGCATATATTTATTCTTTATATAATCATTATAATCATACATCAACTATCCTTCTATAGAGTGGTTACTTTTTATATATTCACTTTGTTCCTTTTTGATAAAGCTAAATGCAAAAAAAAAAAAAAGCTAAGTAAGATGCTATAAGAAACAAACCAATGAAAGTACTTTGCTATTGTGAATGTTATAGGAGTTCAAGTAATTCTTTTTTTATTTTTTATTTTGCAGAAAATGTTGTTGCCATGTGGTCTTCCACCAGAGAGAAAAGAGGAATAGGGCAATGAGGTTCTTCATGGGGAGATTTACTATGATTGCATTATGAAAAACTTGTGTAGTATCAACCTGATGCGAGGATAAAAAACTATGTTGAGTTTTTGATTTTTATGTCACATGTAATATGTTCTATATTATACAAAGTCATGTTTTAGTGATGAACATTAATCTTTGTGTATTTTATGGGGTGGTTATGTTGGTAAGTGTCACGTGATAAGTGATGAACATTAATCTTTGTGTATTTTTTGTAAATTTAGTCTAATTGTATAATTTTATTAAAAAATAGCAAAAAAAAATTGATGAAAAGACCAAAATAGACATCAAAACCCAAGTGTAAAAAAATGAAAATGTGAAGATGTATTAGTTTGACAATTTGGATGTTTTGTGTTTTTATGTTTGAAGTTGTATTATGTATTTCCAATATAAAAAACAAAAAAAAATGAAAAAAAAGGTTGAAAATTCTCCAAAAAATGTGTTGATTCAAGTTAAACAATTTTGTACATACATTATGTTTTTGTACATATACACAAACATCAAATTTAAAACCAAAAAAATAATACATCAAAAGATATGTATATTATTAAACAAGAAACAAAAGCAAAAAAAAATGGATTTCTTTTGTCCTTTTTACATATATATGGACGAGAATCCCATTTTTCTTTTATATGGATGTGTATATTGAAGGGGGCCATCAGTAGCCCATATGAACACATTTTCAATTCGTCATCTGTCAAAATTTGCAAAATTAACAAAATTGACCCAAAAGTCAAAATTGCAATTACGTTCCCTTTTGCGTATACTTGTTTGCTTATCACGAGAACGACGAAGCCTTCGCCTTCAGCCGACGACGCCTCCGCCTCTGGCCAACGACGCCTCCGCCTCCGGTCTTCGGTCGACGACACAGACGAAGTCTCCTACTCCGGCCTACAGCCGCTTCCGCCTCCTTCTTTCACGTTGTTTAAAGGTACGATCGGCCTTCTTTGATTAATGTTCTGTTTATGACAATGTCTTCTTTGTACGACATATTAATGTTGTGTTTATGCAATGTTGCTAGTTGGCTAGGAGTCGATAATGGTTATACTGTGTAAAAGTATATATCTACTCAGTTGTTGGTTTATTAGACCATAATCAGAATAATTTCTAGTAATCGAAAATTTCAACTGGTCTATGATATCATAATCATATTAATTTCTAGTAACCTACTTCTGCTTATGATTATTTAATTATTAAGGTGGATATCAATGAAGAACACGATGGATCTTATTTGTCCCTGATATCACAAAGGTAAAAGTAAGAACCTTCTCTTGTGGAATGATCACTCTTTTCAACATTATTTACTAATGGTTACTATTATATTGCAAGAAGTAGCCCATATGTGTTAATATTTTGATGAATCAAAATTAGAAACACCAAAAAAGATTATGTATTTCAAGATGAAAAAGTGAAAACTTACTATGATGATATCACTTGTTCCTTCTATATCATCAAGTCCATATAATATCTTTTCAGTATCACTTTCCTAAAAGGGTAAAAATGTCAATTTTGACTTTAGTCAACCGATTTTTACCATAAATAGTAAGTTTTGATATATCGATTTTCACCTGCCAGAATTTTTTTGAGATATCTATGTATTTGCAACTAACAAGTTCTTTTTTTCTTCTATAAGTAAATGCAATAACAATCTGCATACACAATTGGAAAAAAGTTAACAAAAGTACATGTAGAAGAAGGGTAGTTTTGTAAATTAGTAAATTCTTTCTACCTGTTTTTCATATCTTCTTTGCATGACATGATTTCTCCGTAATGTCTCTTCAGATATCATTCTTTCAGAAAAATATTCAAGTAACTGATTCACAAATACAAGATATAATCATATAATATCAACTGTCTTAATGTGAGTAAATGAGTAAATGACAATTTTACCCTTCTATAAGTAAAAAAGAAAAGTGAACAGGAGAAAAGATTTCTACATCTTTGCATAAAGGTTCCAAATTCAATTCATCTTCTGTGAGTTCCTTAATTTTTTTCACTTTAGGGAGTGCATTCATCCTTTTGTAACTTGATTTAACATCCGCAAAAGCCTGAAATTAAAGAATAAGAGAAATATTAGGTCAATATAACAGTTAAATGAAGAAAAAAAGTAGTGAAAATGAGAATATTTACTCGTGTGCTCCCTTTCCATCCACATTTGGCTCGAAAACAAGTCAACACAGCTGAATTACTAAAATGTTTTATAAAATTCCATGTCAGAATTTTAATAAATAAAGTCGATTTTGAGAATATGAGGCAATTTACATACCAATCATCAGAAATGAAGAGAGAGTTTCTTCTCCTCTGAGTCGCCACCTTTGCACTATTGAGTAGAAAGATGCATTTAGAATGGAATGAAAACTACAAAGTAACCGATCGATTTTTTATTTGTGTAATCTTCAATCACATTGATCCTTTTGAAATTTTCATAATGGAATGAATGAAAAACTATAACCTAAGCAATATGTATGCTCATTTTCTTATCAACAGGTCTGAGGTTATACATCGGAAATTTACCATTACATATGGATGAGGTACTAGTGCAAACAACCAAGAGCAGGAGGATCCGTATGGTAGAAAGAAAAACCAGAAAAAGAAGTGTTGGTAAACCCAAAACGAAACATCTTGAAGCGAGGTATACATATTAACAAACATTATTTGAGTTTTCTTCATTAAAAATTATTTGAGATTTTGAATCCTAAGTTTTCTTGTTTTTGTAGGCATACAATGAATTAGCCACAAAAGGGAAAGAGAGGTCAGAGGTGTGACATTAACAAATTTAAGAATGTTTTTATGCTTAATGAACTAAATGGTTATTGTAATTTTTTTTTTCTGTTTCTTAAAATGAAAACATGATCAGTGATGCTTATGGTTGGAATGGAATCATATAGTAGGTTTGTATTTTGTAGAGATTGATCATTCGGTTACAATTCACATGGTAAAAGCTTTGCAGAAATTGAAGTGTTTGTTTCAGTTGGAATAGTTGGAATGGTGATCCATGTGTTCCGCAGCATCCATGGAGTGGAATTGGCTGATTAATAAGGCTGGAATGCAAAGCCAGAATGGGCTGGAAGGAATGGGGATGTGAGACATCAAGTATGGTTGTGTATTGGTGTATTAGATGTGTATATATGGCGTATTAGATGATTGTATGTAATGATTGTATGCGATGGTATATGATACATATAGTACGGTTAAATAGCCGTACTCTATTATGCATGTAATCTAATACACCCCTCTACTAATACGCCCTCTATGTACGTACTATATTCATAATTTCAACCGTACTCTATTAACCTTTTTCTAGTAGTGACTTAACACCACAAGATTCCAAATATAGAAAGAAAAAAATGAAAGAACAGGGGTTATATTGATGGGTCGTGGGGTCCTCATATGTCTTGGTAACAGCCAAAAAAGAGTAAAAATTTAAAAGAATGAAATTCTTGTACGTACTCCTAAATTCAAGAAATTAAAGCTACTACTACTTAACCAAAAACACATTGCCATTAAAGTCATGGAGAATTACAGAAAACCCAAAACTTTTTCAAAAATATACGGTTGTATCCTAACGTCATTTTTTGGGGGTTAAAATCAGAACTTTGTAAGTTTTTCTACATTTACCCTTGCTAAGGTTTCCACATTACCTTAAAATAAAATTCATAGGAAAACTCATAAGTTTGCAATTGGTTTACGTTTTTACGTTAAGTATGTGATCTTGCATTGTAAAAGAAGACAATTACAAATCATGAACAACCCACCCCCTGTCCCCCTTGCTCTCATAGTAGGGAATTGAAGCCAGAAACGATGATATTGCAATGTAAAACAAGACAATTACACATCATGAATAGTTAAGTCAAAAGTGGTTATAATCTATCCATTATCAGTAGTGCAGCTAAACAAGAAGAAAACATGCCAGAGAATGATTATAACTTATAAGCCCGATTACTTATTACTTTCATCCGCCATAATTAATCCAGCAATTCTAGAACTATACACCAATACCTCCTCCCTTGTGGTTTTTTCACTTGGTCCTGATGAATGAACCACATACAGATCACCCAAATCAATGCGGATGTTTATCTCTTTAAAGACTCTACTTTTCAGATCATAACTAAACAAACTTTTATCCCATCTTGATTTCATGAAAACGATATATTGCTTGCTTATCATGCCACAAATTGGATACCGAAAAGCAGCACCATGATATCTTCCAAACTCATGATCCGGGAAAGTTATTGACAGCAACTTCTCCCACTTCATACTTTGAAAATCTTTAAGAATCCATATGTCAGTTTTGTCCCGAGAAACTCCATCAATGAGGCTGAGAAAACCACCCATCTCAAAAATCGAATAGTAGAGTCTCTTACGCTCACTGGATTCAGGTAGTGTCATTTGGAGAACTTCTTCTTTTATCATATCAACGGAAACCATGTACTTAGAACAATTAGGTTGCGTTTAGTTACGGAAAAACAGTTTTTATTTTCTGTTTTTCGTTTTTCCTTTTCAGTTTTCGTTTTCCGTTTTCGGTTTTCATTGGAAAATTTAGAAAACGCGTTTAGTTAAAACTTATTCATTTTTCATTTTCAGTTTTAGAAAATTAGAAAACGTGTTTAGATGTGTATTTTTCTATCCATTTTCATTTTTAGAAAACGGTAGCGGTGATAGGGTGGGCGTGGGGACGGTGGCGGTGGTGGGGGCAATGGTGGTGTCGATGATGGCGACGGTGGTGGTGATGGTGGCACGGTGGTAGTGGCGGTGGTAGCAGGGTGGCGGCGGTGGTGGTGCTAGTGATTGGATAGTGGTGGTGATGGTGATGGTGATGGTGACGGTAGGTCAGTGATTGTGGTAGTAGCATTGGGTGAGTGTGTGTTGTGGGGGGGGGGGGTGGGTGGGTATGGGTGTGTGAGTTTGTGGGTGTGTGTGTTTGTGGGGGGTGTGGGTAGGGGTGGGTGTGGGGGTGGGTGGGTGTGTGTGTTTGTGGGGTGTGGGTGGGGGTGGGTGTGGGTGGGTGTGGGTGTGGGGGTGGGGGTGTTGGGTGGGTGGGGGTGGGTGTGGGTGAGTTTGTGGGTGTGTGTGTGTGTTTGTGTGTTTTTTGGGGTGTGGGTGTGTGTTTGTGGGGGTGGGGGTGGGTTTGTGGGGGTTGGTGTGTGTGTGTGTGTTTGTGGGGGTGTGGGTGTTTGTGTGTGTGTGTGTTTGTGGGGGTTGGTGTGTGTGTGTGTGTGTTTGTAAGGGTTGGTGTGTGTATGTGTGTGTGTGTTTGTGGGGGTGGGGGTGGGTTTGTGGGGGTTGGTGTGTGTGTGTGTGTGTGTGTGTGTATGTTTGTGGGGGTGTGTGTGTGTTTATGTGTGTGTGTGTTTGAGGGGGTTGGTGTGTGTGTTTGTGGGTGGGTGTGTGTGTGTTTGTAGGGGTTGGTGTGTGTATGTGTATGTGTATGTGTATGTGTGTGTGTGTGTTTGTGGGGGTTGGTGTGTGTGTGTGTGTGTGTTTGTGGGTATGTGGGTGTTTGTGTGTGTGTGTGTTTGTGGGGGTTGGTGTGTGTGTGTGTGTGTGTTTGTGGGTGGGTGTATATGTGTGTGTGTGTTTGTGAGGGTGGGGGTGGGCTTGGGAGTGAGTGTAGGTAGGTAGGGGTGTGGTGGGTTGGGGGTATTAAGGTGAGGGTAGGTAGAGGTGGATCGGGTGGGAGTGGGTGTTTATATTTTAGAAAAAAAAAATTGGAGTTAGAAAAATATGGAAAACAATGATTATCGTTTTTCCAAAAATTTCCAATTTCTTTGTAATTTTAGAAAACGGAAAATTTTCATTTTCCGTGAAAAATTTAGAAAAATAGACGAACTAAACGCGTTTTCAAAATTCTCATTTTTCTTGGCGGCAGCGGCGGCGTTGGTGATGCTGGTGATGGGGTAGTGGTGGTGGTGGTAGTGATGGTGATGGTAGGTCGGTGATTATGGTAGTGGTGTTGGGCGTGTGTGGGTGTGTGTGGGTGTGTTTATGGGGGTGGGTGTGGGTGTGGGTGTGTTTGTGTGTGTTTGTGGATGTGTGTGTGTGTGTTTATGGGTGTGGGTGTTTGTTTGTGTGTGTGGGGGGGTGGGTGGGTATGGGGTGTGTGTGTGTGTGTGTTTGTGGGGGTGTAGGTGTGGGTGGGGGTTGGGGTGGGTGTGTGTGGGTGGGGGTTGGGGTGGGCGTCTGTTTATGGGTATGTGTGTGTGTGTGTGTTTGTAGGGGTGGGGGTGGGTGTGTGTGTGTGTGTGTGTTTGTGGTTATGTGTGTGTATGGGGGGGTGTGGGTGGGGGTTGGGGTAGGTGTATGTTTGTGGGTATGTGTGTGTGTATGTGTTTGTGGGGGTGGGCTTGGGAGTGGGTGGGTGTGGGTAGGTAGAGGTGGGATGGGTTGGGGGTGTTAAGGTGGGGTAGGTAGAGGTAGGAGTGAGTGTGTGTTTATATTTTAGAAAAATTTTGGAATTAGAAAAATATGGAAAACAATAATTATTGGTTTTCCAAAATTTTCCAACTTCTTTGTAATTTTAGAAAACGGAAAATTTTCATTTTCCGTGGAAAAATTTAGAAAAATAGACGAACTAAACGCGTTTTCAAAATTCCCATTTTTCTTGGAAAATTTTTCTGGAAAACGGCCCGTTTTTCTACAACTAAACGCACCCTTAACATTCCAATGAAAGTACATTCCTTGAACCTGAAGTGAAACCAAGGTTCTAAATAACGTAAGGCGTGACTTGGCGGCAATGTCAAGCCTCAAGCTTTTCCGAGCCTTGGCGAGTCACGTCGTTTGTAAGGCGTGACTTAAGGCGGCAATTTTGTATATAATTCATATTTTTATATGTATTTTCTATTATTATTCATTTTTATACACATATATGAGTCAAGGCGGCGTTTTGGTAAAGCTTGGCGGCACATGCAAGCCTTGGAGTCATTGCGCGCCATGGCGAGCTTTTTAGAACCTTGAGTGAAACCGACTCACCCATATCCCTATGATCCATACTAAAAGGTAATATTTTGATCTTTTACCACTTTGAGGAAACACGAGAGACAATATCTTTTTCCAAGTGTAGAATGTGACATTGGATTGATAGACCCATATACAAGTGAACAACCTTGTATACTCCCTTGGATTTGTCAAAGGAAAGGGCCATTTCACATCTGCTTGTATCAAATTGTGCACAAGATGTTGGACATTTGGGAAGAAATGATCTTTCCTTGGTGATTATATTGAAAATATACAGTGAGTTTCTTCTTCTGGTGGGGTTTGTTATCAGAAGAAACTCGTTATACCATGACTTTATCTTTCCAAAGAAATTTATGTCAAGATTTTCGTGTTTTGCTTCTAGTCCTTCTCCGTCTTCCCTTACATCTACAAGGCGCCCTGTAAAGGATCCATATGACTTCTGGAGGATAACAGAAGCATGGTGATCTAGCAAGATCATGTTAGTGATTATACTGAACCATTGTTTACACACATACTTAGCGTTATAACGAAGGAAAACATTAGGAAGCCTTTTAAGGATATTTAAAACAACGTCATCTGGAAGAAACACAAACCAATGAACCTCATTTTTCTTTCTCTTCATTTGTTCATCTTCACACTCTTTCCTGCACTTGCTCATTACCACCCCCATCGACTTCTGTTTCAAAATAATATACTGTTACCTTTTTTTGTAATCAGCAACATGAGGAAGAAACTCAGCTATGTACGTAGCCACAAGGGAACATGCATGAATGATCGATAACATACATCAAGCGAACATGTATGTGTTTTATTTCGGATCAACAGGAAGTAAGTATATTGTGTTTAGATATAATCAATACATGTAAATCCTATCAATTTTAAACCCGAGTTTTAAGTTCCCAATTGATTAATTTGAGCCTTGATGAAATTGTAAAAACTAACACCCTATTCTGGTATTTGAAGGTTTTTAAATCTTAACATTTGTTATATATAAGTAATTTGTTTCGACATTGACATTTGTGACGAATTGAAAGAACGTAAGAGACACAGTTCATATCAAGATGAAAGTGCATAAAAAGCCACATTAAACACATTGCAAAAAGAAAGGAAACCTGTAGAACGCCTACGTGCAGAGATCGATGATAGTCAAAAGTTAGGGTTTTTTACGGCATAAACTAGAAGGAGTGTGATGTGTGTTTTTATTTTTTAAGATCTCCCAAAATTGCCGCTCAATTTATTTCCTAAACTACCGCCCCTTTTTATTTATTGTAAAGAAACGAAAATTTTGGTTAATTCCTATACAAGATTTTTTTTCTAAAATTTAAGCAAAAATTAAATCATTTTCAGAAATAGACATAAACTTCCATATCGTAGTGAGTGATTTAACAATCATATTGTGTAATCTGACAATCATATTGCGAAATTAAGATTAAGTTTTCAAAAACTTATAAACTGTTCTTTTATCTTTGTTAAATTATATGAAAAAAAAATCTTTCACAGAATTATGAATTCTCTACAACATATTTTTCCATTCTTGCTTGTATCTACGGGTCATGGCAGAGAGCAAAATATCAAATTGAATATAGCAGGCGTTTTTGTTAAGAACTGCCGTGTATAACTTTTTGTGAATATAAACTTTTCCGAGTAGTTAAATTTGGTGAAATTCAAGGTAGGTTTGAAGATAAATCTAATATTTGTTTGTATTTCCAACATCCTAAGTTGCATAATGTTATGGAGATAATTCATGACGACGATGTTCAACTTGAAAAACGTTATTTGTAGAATCTCAATGTTCTACATGTGTATCAGGTATTTTGGGTTATTTGTTTAAAAAGTGATTACCTCCCTATGGTACTTTAAGGTTTTTTTAGCATATAAGTAATAACCATTTCAATCTAATTACTTACAATAAAGGAAAATTGAGTTTCCTAATTTTTTAATCATAATCTTCTATCATTGATGTTTTTAACAAATAAATAGCTGAATTTTTTTATTGTCTTCATCATCATCCCATGTTCATCGTCATCTCGTGTTCATCATATTAGAAAAATATAAATTTTTGTTCCACTTGCAATCTTCACTATCTTGTACTCTCTCTGTAGTTGCTTTCTTTTATACCGGATAAAAAATGTATTTGATAGATTATCCCATATTAAATTTCGTATAACTCAAACAATTAGCATTAAAACATTAATCACGCAAAGTTGACACACATAATCTATCAAAAAATGAGATTCTAGATTTCAGTTCAACCCGTTTTCTAACAAAAAAAAAAGACATGTAGAAATTAAAATAAAAAGTAGAGTAGAGAACAAATTGCAAAACATATTGGAGGTTTACTAATAAGAAATCAAGAGATTTATTTGTATGAGCATTTTATTTACAGTGAGAAGTTGTTTATCAAAGATGTGTGAGAAAGAGAGATGGGGTAATTTAATTCTAGAAAAAGGGATATTTGT